TGTCGTCCTTATAAAGTAATATGACTGCTATGCAAATTAGCAAAGTACTCAAAATTTTGCCATATGCATAGTTTTTTTGGGGTAAAATATAATTAATTTTTATTCTGTTATCTGCAAGGTTCTCTGAAGCAAAGTTATTTATTTTGAGTTTTTATCAGGTTGCAAAATGGTCGTCCCCTAACAAGGATACAACACTGAAGATAAATCGGCCATGTCGAATTTTACGATCGACTAAAACGAGAAAATATTAATACTTAAAATTTTTCGTAATACTCAGGATTTTCTACCCCACGAATAGATGACCTTAGCTGTATTTGCCAAAACCTTTCGGAATTTATACTTTGATCATCGAGGAGAACCTTTGACTTACAAGCTTCTGGTAAAACTGCTATCTTTACACCATTTAAAAAATACTAATTTCCGTGAATCAATCTGTCCATATGCCTTGACATGGGATGTAGTGTAAAGAACAAGATCTTGTCTACAAGTTCAGTTTTAAAAGCTGAAGGTATATCGAAAAAAAGTATATTCCTAATTCCAATCCGCGTTCATGGTTTTACCTTCGAATGTGGCTATACTTATAAATGGAAAAAATAGATAAAAGCATAATGTTTTAAAGTAAACAATCAGCAATTTTAGACCAGTAAACATTTGTAATTTTTGTTTATTTTTGGTAACAAATGATAAAACAGATCAATGTAGACTTTATCTACTAAAACCAGATGGTTCAATAGTTGAAGATACCAGGATGACCATTAACTTTATAGAATGGACATAGAAGTAATCAATGATTTGATCCATGAGTTCTTTTAAAGTTGTCATGTTAAAAGCGTTTAGTGGGACTTTTAAAACTACTTATAAAGCTGAAGCCTGTGAAATTATTACAACTCACAGTATTTGAAATCTATACAGTCTGGTTACACAAGAAGATTTTTTAACTGACGAAACCATGATTACATTGACAAAAAGGAAAGAAATATCCGAAAAGTCGTCTGCTAAAATACCCTGGACAAACGATGACATTCGGAACACAAATCACACTGTGCATACGGTGTACTGGTATATTCTGGTAATGTCATGGCTGGGCGTGTATTATCCGATTCATATTTTCAAAGAAAAAAATCAAGGACAGTGATACGGTTTGGATGTTGCTTTACCCTTGCTCTTCTACTAGGAACGAATTGTATCCGAATAACAATTGGTCTTTTTGTTGGGGACTTCCTAGATGAAACTAGAGACTTTAAACTTTCAGCTATTACGTGGGTGATTCTCTGTTTGTAGATCTGGGATCTGCATCAGAAACCATATCGTTAGTCTACTCAACTCCATTTCAACTAACAATAACCGTTAAAGTGTGTGCTTTCTTATTATGTATTATTGACTTAATAGCTTGGATATTTCCAGTAATATTCTTTGTTCTTCTTTGTTCTACTCTTAAAGATGACGTAGAGACATACAATAGCTTTCTCGCCAAGCAACTAATGGAAAGTAATGGTAAAATAGGAAAGGAAATTACTCAGCTTCGCTTTGTGCACTTGGAACTGTGTAAGACTATCAGCAGTCTGAATGGCTCATTCAGTTGGCTTTTGTTTACTTGGTTTGTACTGAACATTGGAAATGGGTGTTTTACCGCCTTTGTACTTTTGAACAGTTCGTATGACGTATTTAGTACCATAATACTGCTGTTTTGGATGATCGCCAGTTGTGTTTACATAGATGGAACCTCAATCCCAGCAGCTATCCTCCATGAAAAGGTAATTCAATATCGATAATAATAAGTCAATATCGATAAAAAAGATTAGGTCAATATCGATAAATAGTAATTCCATATCGATGGATAGTAATTTAATGTCGACAAAAAGTAATTTAATATCGATAAATCGTAATTCAATACGGTAACCGATAAGTAGAAACTTAATTATCATTCAGCATCGATAAATAGTAATTCTATTTCGCTAAAAACAGTAAAGACAGGAAAATAAACTTCGCAAAATCAGATTCGTTTGCAGGAACTCATAAAAACGAACAATAAAACAAAGTTTGTGGTCTGTCAGAAGACGGTTATTAATGTTTGAAGTGAAATTGGGGACATTGCAGCAAATTGTGGTCGTTAATTTCCCCACCAAAGTTGCGCACGATGTTCCTACAACACGACGTTACACCAAAAAATGCGACGCCAAAGAGGGTTTCCTGAAATGTTGATGTCGATTTTTTAAACTTGTCAGTTTCATTCGTTTTTTTTTATATGTTGGTTGTTTCTTTCTCTGTTATTTTGGTGATGTCTTTTTACCATAAATTACCTCAAGTATTGGTAATCGATTTAACAATGTTGAGAATGGAATGATTCACGGAAGTATACGGTTTTCCATAAATAAATTAAAACAAAATTTTAGATGTACAAAATTTCAATCACAGGCTGCTAAAATTTCATGGTGCTTATCAACTGTCATTGTAAATTTTCTATATCATGAGTCAACCCCAATAAAAATATATCTTGCACTCTGCAAGTATTAAAATCAAAACATGTTTACTTACCCTTGATTAATTTGAATTGAATTATATTTCCCTTGATAAATAATTTGACGAACTACGACCCTTCAATTACTTGAACCCCAGCTTGAAAATGATTTCCCCAGTAATCTAAAGTTGCTTGCTTAAGTTTTCTAACGACGGGTCGTATGATGTAAATTTAAAAAAGGAATAATCTTCTCCTTGATCGCCCGTAAAAACGACTAAAAATGATTTTTAAAAATAGCAAACTGTGTCGAATCTTAGGTTCCGAGTCTAGCAACAATGCACCATTCTTTTTTCCGACAGCCATCACTATCTTTTTTTTAAAATTTCACCACACGATTAGTTCAAATTATCTGGAACATTTAATTGAAACAAATTTAGCACATATAACGTACGTAGCATTTTTTTGTTGTTGATTTGTCGCCGTTTTCAGAATTTTGGACAAAATGACTACCGTTTTGTACTGTTTCGTAGCAATTTATTCCTTTAAAATCCAAACATGTAGTTAATAATATAAGCATTTAGGCAAATATAATCTTCGTGTATCTAACTTTTGTTTTGATAAATTATAAAGAACTTATTAAAATATCAGTAAAAAACCCGCATTAATTGCTTTGACAAAAGAAATGTCAACTTGGACAAAATGACTACCGCTTAAAAAACGACTGTGTAGAGAAGATTTTATCGAATCTACAATTTTTTAACTCATCAACAATGAGGCAAATATTTGTTATTTTGGTAGATGTTATTATTATCTTACCATTTGTAGACATATTCTGATATATCTACTTATAAAATTTACTTTCAGTCGTTGAGATAACGAAAAACGTCGTTGGACATTTTTCTTATTCCAGCCTAATATGCAGCCACCGAGTCGATTGAAATTTGATAAAAAATAACGGCTTTAATTCCACAATGAACCGGCACACGTAGTTGTTCCTGCCAAGTTTCAGGAAAATCAGAGGATAAGAAATATGATCACTTTATATAAGAGTTAAAACAGTTGCTCAAAAATGTAACGTTGGTCTGACCAGTAGGGTTGTAACATAGTACATGATGTATAGTGACAAGTTGATGATGTACCGTTCAGATCACCTATTTTTTCTGTCGTATGCAACTTGCAAAGCTTAAATCTGTTCACTTTATATGAGCAAAAAGTCATACCTGGTAATCATTTTTTGCATTCGACTTTACATGAGATGTTAGATGTTTTATATCAAGACTATGGAAACTTTTTAAAAGTCATTGAGATTTTGTTCTTTATAACAATGACTGTCAACTTTGAATTGACCATATGCAAGTAACATAAAATTGTAAATTTTTTAAAGTAAATATTCATCAATTTCAGATGAGTAGTAATGATGAAGTTATTTATTTCAGTAAATTAAAGTAACTATAGGTAAATATCAATTCCATTTACTAATGACACAATGGTTCAATAATGGAAGTTACAACGATTAACTTTGACGTTAGGCTATTTGCATAAAAATCAATTACTCCTTCCATTTATCTAAATTCTTTAATTGTCAATTTTAAAGTATAAGCATATAAGCATTTCAAATTCTATTTAACAAACTGAAATCATTTAGTCAAACCAAATACTCTGACGCCAGTGCTTCTTTTTTGTACAAACTAAAAGTGAACCTGAAGTAACGATGTCTTCATTGACAAAAAGGAAAGCTTTATCCGAACATTCGTCGGCTAAAATCGCCTGGACCAACGAAGACAATCGGAGCACAGATGATATTACCACTACATTGTACTGGTACATCATAATAATGTCATGGTTTGGCTTGTTTTATCCATTCAAAATATTCAAAGATAGTCAAAATGAAAAACTATTATCGAAAACAAAATTACTACGATGTACGAAGACAGTGATGCATTTCGGATTTTGCTTAAGCCTTGCTCTTTTACTAGGAATGAATTGTGTCAGAGCTACAGTTGGTATTTTTGTTGGAGAATTTCTAGATGAAACTCGTAACTTTAAACTTGTTCATGTTACATGGGTGACTCTTTGTTTTGTCAATAGTGCATCCCTTTTATACGTTTCTTACAAACCGGATGGATTACGTGCTTTCTTTGTTCAGTGGAACAAAAGTCGAGAATATGCATTTTCACATTTTGGACTTAAAACAAAGGGAAGGAAAATCAAGATAAAATTAATTGTATATCTCATAATAGCATTTGTTTTAGTTATTTTTAACATCGTATCGGTCGGCACAATCATGTTTGCTGGTTTCGGATCCGCATCCGACTCATTCTCTATCGTCTTTTCAGCTCCATTTAAACCAACGACAACCGTTAAAGTGTTTATTCATTTATTAAATGTTATTAACGGAATAGCATGGATATTTCCAGTCATATTCTTTGTTCTTCTCTGTTCTACGCTTAAAGATGACTTTGAGACATATAACTCATTTCTTAGTAAGCAAACTAAGGATAACAACGGGAAAATAGGGAAAAATATCACTCAGCTTCGGATAATGCACTTAGAACTGTGTAAAACTATCAAGAGTCTGGATAACTCATTCAGTTGGCTTTTGTTTACTTGGTTTGTGCTTAATATTGGAAATGGCTGTTTTATAGCTTTTTTTCTTCTTAACAGTTCATATGACATATTTGGTACAAGTGTGCTTGTGTTTTGGCTCATTGCCAGCTGTGTTTATATAGGTGCAACATCTATTTCAGCGGCCATCCTCCAGGAAAAGGTAATTTGATCTTAAATTATGAAATATTGTCCACGCTTGACGTGAAAACGAGTAGAGTGAAACTCATAATGGCCCTTTGGTTCTGAACATCAACATAGACAAAGAGGTGGGCAAATGTTTTAATGTTTAGTTATATAATAATATTGGCTTAAGCCACACAAAGAAATAACTGTTTTCCGATTTTGCCGATGAAAATAAAATCTGATGCAAAGAAAATAATTTTGTAGTCCGACATCGATATTTTACTCAAAATACACAGCATTACTAATTTTAAGATTAAAAATATCATTTTTTTGACATTGATGCACTGAGGGAATAATGAAATTTGGCGTTTGTGTGTTGTAGTGACAGTAAGAGTCATCTCTATTTAAAGCAACTTAAAAATTATTCAGAGCTGCTTAGAAATTGTCGACTCTTCAAATAAGCAATGGGCGACACCTTTGATTTTGATATAGTCAGTATATATGATATTCATATATTACGAATACCACTGACAGCTTTTATATTTTGAGCCTATGATTTAAAGTGGTAGAAATCAAATTAGTTAATATAATCCGACATTCATTTACTTTGAGGGACACATTACCTTCAGCCCATTAGTGAATTATCGCTATCCCAAAAAACAAGCCCATACTTATTCCTAACCCTTACAAAAAAACCACACGAGGCTACCTCTTAAGTACAGGGTCCCGTAAATTGTATGAAGGACATACATCCGTTGACTACGTTCAGAATATGACATTATATCGTATTGAATCAGACAATTATTCCACATGCCAACAACGCATCAGTTTCCCCACTTCCCCTTGACTCAAATACTAATTGTACAATAACTTTCAACAATGTCATTCAAGGTGTTTATAATTTCAATAATGCAAACAGATAATTCTTTCGAATAAAGAACGTGTTTAAGTCAAACGTTTGATTTTGTAAGGTTTTGTAGACTTCCCCCTTCTTTAATTGACTTGTATTTCGATATTTTTTTTATACTATTCTGGTACATTATTTCAAGGCACATTTATAACAGGTGATCTCTGACTGATTGTGCATAATTCGTTTGAAGGTCGAAATGTATGTAAAACATTTGCGATCAAATTTCACTATCAAAAACAAATTTATCAAATGAGTCTTTGGCAAATTTCAAATTCTATTGTTTAACTGAAAACTATTTTTGTTGTCTATTTTCCTTTAACACGTGTTCTTGGACTGGTTGATGGCCATATTCAGTATTGCTTCCTATGATCCGATAAATTTTATTTAACATCGATAAATAGTAATTAGATTTTGTTAAAAAGTAACTGCAGAAAAAAAATTCTTCGCAAAACCAGAATCGCTTGAATAACCTCTGAAAAACGAACCATAAAACAAAGTTTTCTGGTCTGTTAAAAGACGATTATTCTTGTTGTTGATACTTGGAGTGACACCAAAGACACAGCAACGACACACAAATAAATATCAGAACAAATGATGGATCGACGGAAATCAAAGGCGAAAAAATTTACTGCCATATGTATTTAATTTTCTTTATCTTTGATGGGTTTAATAATTTTTACAACTGCTATGAACTGACTCCTTTTATTAAAATTGTGTCTCTTCTTTTGAATGTCAATTTGTTTATAGGTAACTCATGATCATGTTCTCATATATACATCACTCAGTCTTACCACTGCCTTTGAATTAGAATTTTTAACTTGTAGTTTCTTTGATTCCTGCCGGCTTGATTATTCATGGTTTTTATTTCCTATAATAGTAAATAAAAGAAGGAAACAAAACGCAAACGCAGAACAGTTTCTTTAATGTTTATTAATTAACATATGGGATTGATTGCATATCACTGCAATTAAAAAAATAACTGTTAAACTGAGAAGTAATAAGTTTTTTGGTAATCTTTTTTTTTAATCAGTGCCATGGTATTTTACCTCAAATCGCACCACAAGTAAATATTTGTATGTTTGTTTGATTTTTTTAACTGGTCGTGTTGTATGTCTGTGATTGACGTTTACCAAGTATTGGCTGGCTTGATCCCAATAATTGTCACATTAACCTATTATGTCTATACCGATTCATGAATACGACTTTCGTTTTCCGCTCGATGCGTCGGGTTGTATCTTTTGATTTAGTTATTTTCTTAGGACTGCTTTTTTCAGTTTACCTCTGAGTTCGATAGTTTGCTTATATATTTTCGGTCATAATGTCCTTCACGGGTTTCGGTATTTATTCAGCCTTGGCTTTCAAATATTTGGCTTTGAGCGTTCCTGACAAAGGTAAATTCAGAATGCGTTTTGGACGCATTCATTTATAATGGTTTTTTTTTTACATCTTATATATTTGTTTCAGATACTAGGTACTTTGGTTTTGATGCTTAGCACTGGTCTGATTAGTTTGATTCCTAAAAACCGATGTTTTCCGTTTGCTCCGATGTTCTGTTGATTACACAACTGACCTAAGTTTTGGAGAGAGCCTGTAATCCTATGACTGTCGTTGTTTTCTTTCTGTCATACTTGCTTTCGTTTATTGTTTTAGAATAAATCTATAGACAATTAGTTTTCTGTTGATTAACTTTCTTTTCAAATTTAGCCAAACTCTGTTAAGAGGAAACACCGCCTAAACCGTATCCAGCGCCCTAGAGCATTTAACAACACAGCTTTCGCTGGTCGAGTAATGCATTTCCTCGTCGGTTTTATCTAGGGTTGTAACACAGTACATGATGTATAGTGACAAGTAGATAATATACCGTTCATATCAGCTACTGTGTTTGTCGTGGACAACTCTCAAAGCTCATATCTGTTCATTTTGTATGGGAAAAATAGTCATACCTGATAATGAAGTTTTGCATCTAAATTTATATGAGATGTTAGATGTTTCATATCAAGACTATGGATATAGTTTGGTGTGAGCCAAGGCTTCGTGTTGAAGACCGTACTTTGACCTATAATGGTTTACTTTTACAAGTGACTTAGATGAAGAGTTGTTCTATTGTTGCTCATACCACATCTTCGTATATCTATGAAAGCTTTTTAAAAGTCATTGAGGTTTGATTCTTTATAACAATGATCGTTATTTGCCACTGTCAACTTTGAATTGACCATATGCAAATAATATAAAATTGTAAATTGTTTTAACTAAATATTCATCAATTTCAGATGAGTAGAAAAATAAGGTTATTTATTTCAGTAAATTAAAGTAACTATAGAGTGTGATAACATTTTGTGGGGAATTTGATGTTTGCTATACCACTGTCCATTCCAACGCAATAATAACAATACCGTTATATCAATCAGAATGAAATGTTTTGCAGTGTTTTGAGAAATGATTTTACTTTGTAGTCGCGTATTATTTGTGAAACATTCAATGTTTTAAAAAGGCGAATTTTCTGTACAAAGTCAACAATTATGTAGACTTTTGAAGCCCAAACTTTCTAAACACTTAAATACGCAAATGAAAGATCCAAAAACTATACCAATACAGAACGACATGTTTATGAAATTATAGCAAACATTTTGGTTGACAAATTTTTATTCGTTATTGCAAAATAATGACTTCAAATATCTGACATTTTCTCCCTAACCAGTTTACCCCTATTACTTTGTATGGCGTGGACTGGTCATTGCTATTGAATCTTAGGCAAATTGATTGGATTAAGTTGTTATTAGTTTACCTTCAAACTGTTTATGCTTTTCATACATGACTATTGATTATTAAGAACGTGCATGACTGTGTACGGTAACTAAAATGACCTTTGAACTGGACACTGGACGAGTCAATATTATGTTTTATCAAGAAAATTAAAATATGATAGGTAAGAATTGCAACTTCTCTATTTTAACAAAATTTTCAGAATACACAGTAGAAAGATAATTTTTTAAAAGCCTATTGCGGAGAAAAAAGAGAAAGTTTACAAATAAGACGTTTTATTCCATTAAACAAGTAATTTTCGAAGGGAAAAGCCGAAATACATTTCACGCACGGCTACGCCAGGTTAAATTACTATTTATCATAACAAAAAAAGGCATTTTTCAGTCTCATTGGAATATATTAATCACAATTAATCTCAAAATGATATAGTCAGTAAATAAAGTCAAATTATGTCCGATCTGCATATTTTTGGACATCAAAAGTCGATACGACCGTTTTAAGGTCAATTTCGTATACCTCACAAAATCTTGTTAGGCACTACAACGGTAAATATCAGTTCCATTAACTAATAACACAATGCTTCAGTAATGGAAGTTACAACGATTAACGTTGACGTTAGGCTATTGATATAAAAATCAATTAATACTTCCAATTAACAGTATAGGCATATTAGCATTGAACAAATTGAAATCATTTAGTCAAACCAAATACTCTGACGCCAGTGCTTCTTTTCTGTACAAATTAAAAGTGAACCTGAAGTAACGATGTCTTCATTGACAAAAAGGAAAACTTTATCCGAACCTTCGTCTGCTAAAATCACCTGGACCAACGAGAACACCCAGAGCACAGATGATATTTCCCTTACAATGTACTGGTACATCATAATAATGTCATGGTTTGGCTTGTTATATCCCTTCAAAATATTCAAAGATGGTCAACATGGAAAACAATTGACGAAAACAAAATTACTACGATGTACGAAGACAGTGATGCATTTCGGATTTTGCTTTAGCCTTGCTCTTTTACTAGGAATGAATTGTGTCAGAGCTACAGTTGGTATTTTTGTTGGAGAATTTCTAAATGAAACTCGTAACTTTAAACTTGTTCATGTTACATGGGTGACTCTTTGTTTTGTCAATAGTGCATCCCTTTTATACGTTTCTTACAAACCAGAAAGATTACGTGCTTTCTTTGATCAGTGGAATAAAAGTCGAGAATTTGCATTTTCAAATTTTGGATTTAAAACAAACGGAAGGAAAATCAAGATAAAAGTAATTGTATATCTCACAATAGCATTTATATTAGTTCTTTTTAACATTGTATCGGTCGGCACAATCATGTTTGCTGGTTTTGGATCTGCATCC